TCTGTTGTTTCTTGTTTTCAGTGAGTTGCTGTTTGACAGCTGGCTGTCACATCTCACAGGCTGAAGCCTCCTTGAACAAACTGACAAGGAGCGTTTTTATTATGTACTTCTGACAAAAACGAAGGAGAACACAATGTTTACTGTGATTAATTTCTTTCCTCCGTCTCACATTCATATGGCATCCTTTCACTGGAAGCTCTTTTTTAAATGTACTTGAACGACTTTTTCTAAATTGGCAGAGGCAGATCCAGCAAAGGCTTTAACTAACACACACCATCATCACCCTGAGATTGTAATCCGTTGGCTCACTGGTGTAATCACTGAGAAATCTGTTGCTTTTATGGACAGACTCAGGAATGTCTGAACTGCCAAAAAGTCAACTTTGAGTCGACGAGACTGCAAATTGTGTCCTGTGAACTATAAAGTGCTGAAAGCGCTGCCAAATGCTCTCTCTTGTCCTCACCGCAGTGAAAAAGCAAGGCCAGAGTGGCATCATCTCCTGCTTTGGCTTCAGCCCTTGCCAATCTGTTTACGCCTGTGGCTCTTACTCCCGCTGCGCTGGCCTCTACTCCTGCCAGGACGGCACCCTGCTGGCTCTGCTGCCGACCCGTCACCACGGAGGTCTCACCCATCTGCTCTTCTCGCCCGACGGCAACTACCTGTACACCGGCGGCCGCAAGGTAACGCACGAAAAGACTCGCACACAGCTTCAAGCAGAGAGATACCCGAAGGTAACAATCGCTGCTGAACACACACAAACCATCAGTTGTGTTTGGGTGTTAAGCAGGTAACTGTTGTTGCTTTGCAGAATATAAATACACAAGTATGATGTAAAGCTTTACATGATACTCAGCATGTGTCAGCAACTTAAAATGAAATATTTAAGCTAGCATCTAACATTATTCTCCTGCTGCAACCTATATGCCAGCTAATTCAGCTACAGGTTCGCTCTAATCTGAAGAAATGATATCAAGGCAGTGTAAGGAAGATTAATGGTAGGTCCTAAATTTAATAGAGCTCCAATTGAAAGTAACAGCTATCAATCAAAAGTCTGATAGTACTTGTTTTATTGTTTTATCTATGATTATTGTAAGTCTGTGGGAAATGAATGTACTCTGTCCTCTGAAGAGATGTGTGTTTGAGTTTTCAACCCTCAGAACAGAAATTGGACAAAAAGTTTGGCTTTTTGAAGCTTTATCAAGTGGCAAAACCTGAGGCTGAAAAAGTACAGATGTTGGTAAATGGCATATTTGCTGCTTTCCCAGTGACTTGTGATTTGATCATGACCAACCTGAGCTTCTCCATCATTGGTGATCTTTGGGTTTTTCAAACTTGGACATTAGTCAGTGCTGAAGCTGAGGAAGAGACTGCTTTATTCCTGGTTCTCACTTCTGCTAATTTCAGCTACTGGACTGCACTACTTAACCAAGTTTGTGCTGTCGGTGCTTTTGGGAACATTTTTAACCAAAGTTATCTGACGAGCATGTCCCGCCGCGAGGTGCAGACTGTTCAAGATGCTTATGGCTCATGTTCTAGTAGTGAAATCAAGAATTATCAGCTTGTTACAGTTATGCATGAACGTGACTGTGTGTGTAGCACACAAAATCTATTGATGCAGCTTGCTAACCATGCTAGCTAGTGTAAGCTAACTTGGAAGTCTCTCTCGTGCTGACTTCTGGCTCTGAAACATTAACGCTGGCAAAAATGTTAATATTAAAGCTTCAAACCCCAAAATGACCTTATTGTGGCTAGGGCTGGGCGATATATCGAGTTTTTAAAAAATATCGATATATTTT